CACTAACTGGAAGTCAGAGAGCTGTGCCTTTCACTGATAGATTTCTGGTTCCCATTGCGGCAGATTCCTGAGAAACAATGCTGTTGGAATTATAAAAATAACAGTCTATTCAGATGCACAGAAAGTAGACTTTTTACATTTCCATCCACAAGTAATGGCTGTGACTTCTCTCTTGCAGGGAAGTACAAGATCATTTTGCTTCCCATTTCTTTTGTTTTGTTTAGAGAAAATCCCCATTGTCATTTAACAAAATACAATCCAGACTCAGAGAATTTCAAACGTCTTGTTCCCTCTCTGAAAATCTTAAGCTTGCAAATATCTGCATGACCATATTTAACTCAAAAGGGGGAAATCATACATGCAGATTATACTTAAACATACCTTGTCAGTGCAGCTCTTCCTCTCCCCTTAGCACCTCGATGCATGTATTTTTTGTGACGGTCCTGGGCTCTGCCTCCTTCTTGATCCACTGGGAAAAAATTCTTCCTCTTCAAGAATTACCACAGTCACAGAAATGCACGTTCTCTTCCAAGAAAACTTCTAGGTTGCTATTCTCAATCTAGTGGAAGCAAAAGCAGCTGACACACTGCTGGATCCATGCAGTGAAATGAGACTCAGATGAGAGCAGATGAGAATCCCCAGAGCAGGGATGGACAAGGTCTGAAAGTACTTTGAAGTTAAAAGAAAGAAAAACCCCAAAACCCAGCTCAGAACTTTGTTACACAAACACCACAGGTGATAGGAACTGAGGGCAGGAAAAAATAGGGTGTGTCGTCAACCACTACTGATGACTAGTACTGATACCAAACCCCTAGAGTTGTGAAGATAAAAGACCAAAAGGACGCGGGGTTTGCAGACTGCCAGGACCTCAGCTGTGTTCATGAAACACACGCCTAATGCTGACCTTGAGAAGCCTATAGCAATCAGAGCAGAGTTTTGGGGCAAGCCAGGTGTGCTCAAGATGAGCATGATGTGAATATCTAAGGAAAGCAAGATCCTTTCCAATGAGCTTTTTGTTGCTGCTGTCCAGTTCAGGTGGTCTGTCCTTTGCTATGCAAACCATTCTCACCTACCAGCTCCATGTAAGGGAATCTTTTTGACACCTCTGCAACCCCACCCCTGCCCCCCCCCAGTCTAAAACATCTTTAATGTTTACTCCTCCTTCCCATGCCTGTATCTGAAAATGACACAAACTGCCAGATGTATTGTTGCAGCTGAGCTTTGCTTGTGCAAAGACCCAGCAATGAGGGAGAAAGTGAGTATAAATTAGGCTTGTGTTTCTTTGGTCCTAGGTTGAGCTGCCAGCAGTGCAGAGGCAATACGGGCAGCTACAGGTCCCTGAGAGGTTGTGGCAGGCAAGCTACGAGACCCATATGGTGTGAAAAGCCACTTCTAGCTATAGTATCTAGAGGTATTGCAGGTATGGTGATATAAACAATTGCACCTGCTTTCTGGCTATGCTGCACGGCCAGAACAGTGGACATGAGCTGCACTGACCCCAGGATCCAACACAAAATTCTATCCATTGTTCCCAAACATTTAACATAATGGGGAAAATTAATCCTCCTTGTCTGAAGTAAGTGGAGTAAAACAAGGAACTAATGCTACTAAGCAAAAATAGAGATTTTTAAAAATATCTGTTATTCCGTGATAATGTTCTCTGCTTAGCACCATTCAGAGGTAGTGCACATATGCAGCATTACTAAGAAAATGTAAACAAGACAATCTGAACATTGCTTTGCAGAGTCAGGTCCATTTCCTGAAAGAAACCCCAGTGTATAGCTGTGCACTTAGCTGACATGTTCAGTTACTAAGACTGAACTATGCATGTGTTTGGATGGAGTTTCTTGATGGTCCTTTTTTTAATTGTCTTTTGACATCCAGACCTAATCTCTGATCAGATTTATCTTTGGCCTCAAGATCCGAGATTTCTGCTATCAACCAAATTAAGTGCTTTCACTAACATCCCCAGTTCTGCAGAGAATTAAGGTTTGCAACAGTTTTTCATTCCCCTCTCCATGTGGTATTTCTGAAGAAGGTTTTGACTTTGACTTTTGAATGCAGTGTTCACAGAGCGCTGTTCAGTAGCCACTTCAGTACAGAATGTAAAAAATGATAGAACGAATTGAGGTTTAGCCTCTTAATGAAGGTAAACCTGAAGTTAATCCACAACTGGTAGAAAAACGAGCAGAAATCAGAAACCTTTCACAGCTGACAATGGAAAAGACACATCCCAAAATATTAATCTTTAATTGACGCATTGTTCATTCTTGCAGGGTTTTCTTTAAAGGAATTATCCTAGGAATGCCACCGATAGCATTAAACGATACTTATTTGTGTTACATCTGGTTTAGCCCTTTATTTATTTATATTTTACCTGAAAATGTATTTTCTTAGAGACCTTATAACAGCATTTCTGCATTATCAGTTCATTTTGTTATCCTCTTTCCTGGATACGCTAGCCAGGAAAAGGAATTCCCAGTCTGTAACAGACAGATTAATTCACATGTTTTAGGTTGTCCACACAGAAAATGCAATTTCTGGATCATTGAGGCATATGGATTATGAACAAGACACTCCAAAAACTAACTATCTAGACGGGGATATACTTACAAAAATCTTTTATGTCAAAGTCAGGATTTCACAACATAACACGCTAATGCAAAATCCAGTAGCACCTGAAAGATTAAGGTAGCTGCTGCTATCACTTGCACATACTTGAAAAAGATTTAAGAAAAAAATAAAAGAGTAAAAGTACATTCTTCAGAGAACAGCAAGTGTATTTCAAAATAAAAAACTGTATTTTTTATTTTTCTTTTTTTTTTTGTTGGGTATTTCTGTTAGGTTTTTTGGTAATTCTTTTTGCTTTTCTTTTTTTACAAGACTTAGTTGCCATATAACAAGTTATACGTGATGTGACTGATCTCCCCTCCAGTGCAAGTTCATGGTCATGTTTTCAGGCTATAGAACTCAACACTGTTTTCTCTTATACATATTCCCATAGTTTCATCAAAGATAGATACAATGTATAATACCTGTCTCTGGGAAAGTAATGTTTCGAACAGGCAAACTTTCATCTTAAAACAGAAGTGGAGAGGCTACAGTAGGTATAGCCACCTAAGTATGAACTTTAGGTCACAATTTCTACACATTCACCTACTGCACATAAACATTAAAAATAGTCTTAGCAATAGGATTTTATTTATATGTGCACGTATGTCCACCTTATCCCATATTTATGTTTGGCAACTATTTGGGAATTCAAAGGTGCAGCCCTCATTAATTGTATTATTTAAAAAAAAGAAATGAAGCATATCTACTCTATGAGAAAAGAAATTCTCAAATATCAATTTCCAATTTTAAATTTAATTTCAATAGGAAAATATTAAAAATGTGCACATCTAAATTTTTCCATGTTCTGTATATACATATGTGTGTGTACGTATACATAGAAATACTCATGTACCACACATATTCACAAAATTTAAGTGGAAATATTTCTGTCCACTATTTTCCCACATGTAAATGACATCATATCTTTAAAAATGTCAATAATAATATCATTAAAAATAATATTACATTTATTCCATCATCATCTTTTTGTGGTTTTATTCTTTCTTCATCCTTATTATGTCCATTGAGCATTAACAGGCCGGATTCTCCCTGCACTTCTACAGATGTTATGCCAACTGAATGTTGCTGACATCACATCAAGGACACATCTGGTTTACAGCAGCTTAAGTGAGAGGAGAATCAGGCCCAAACATCCCCAGGTAAATTAAAAATTGGTCATATCTGCTCATCTGGACCTGATGAAGATATACACACCACCATCTAAAATCCACTGAATGAAAAACATGTAGCTCACCACAAAGTTTTCAACGAGTAGCACGCTGAACCAAGCTCCCCCCACCCCTTTAATAAATAAAATAAGTGAGAAAATACCCTAAAAATATGGAGAAAACTTAAACATTGTGTACATTACATACTGTATAATACATGACAGTTTAGCATTTGACCTAAACTGTTTTCCTGACTAGTCAGGGGAGACCTGATAAATCATTGGTAAAGAAAAAAACAGGTATTTTAGAAATAAAGCATGTATTTCTAATATAAATGAGAACCTGTGTGTATTATATGGTATATACACACAGTACACACATGAAAAGAAACTTATGTTTTCTAGTTTTGAATAGCAGTCTCTAAGTGGAGAAAATTGTATTGTACAAATTTAATAAGCAGCTAGATTTCATGTTTAACATTCAAATTAATTTGGGGAGCAAACAAAGGTCCGTGCATCTTTCGACTCTGAAGTCTTGACACTCATTCATACATTTTAAAAAAAGCCCTCTTCAACATTACAAGCAATTTATGGCAAGAATGTACTTTGATGCAAGACACATGACACTTGGCTTACCTTTCAAAGAGGTTTGGTGGGTTTTTTTTAAAATAAATCTATTATATAAAGAAATGTGTGTTTGCCAAAAGTCTGTTAAAATTACATCAAAACAACTTTAAAACCTGCTCACTGAGGATAACTGAATTCAATTTCCTGTTTTTAAACATTTAGTTAACAGTTCAGAATATTGCCTGGTGTAGTTTCAATAAAGATGTGATATGAAGACCCATAAAAGAGTAAACATGTCTCCATTTCAATTTGCTATCACAACAAAACTTCTAGAAACAGCTTTCTTGGCTGGACAAGTTCAGTGTATGAGTAATCCCTTACAATAGCTCTATGCCCTTAATGCAATCTGTAATAAAACAGTGCTCCCCATAAGCCATTATTCACAAAACCTGAAATTCATGTGACATTCTGAAAAAGTCTCCTGCAGAACAGGTTAACAGTTAATTGAACATACATATTCAGTATATGTATCAAGGCCAGAAAGCAAACAACTGGCTATTCCTTGTTATCTGTGCATGTCAAATTTTACATTTAAAATTCACAGGGGTTTTTTGCCTTTTTTTTTTTTCCTGGTGCACTCACCTTCCATCATTGGTTGGCTTCAAAATATAGTTAAGTGGAAGATAGTATCTCACTCTAATTACATGGAATTCATATGAAAAAGTAAACCTTACATTGGACAATATTGTAGAACACCAGAGTAAGCTCCATAAAGAAATACGGTATCTTCCAGTATATATATATATAGAAAAAACCAAAAAACAACCAACCAACCAAACAAAAAAAACCCCAAAAGGAAGAACTTTATACAAGCAGTTATAGTAACTTTGTTTCAATTAAAGATGCAACTCTGTCTCACTCCTGGCAAGAATAAATTGGTAATGGCACTGCTTCTCCACAGTGCAAAGTATCCTGAGAAATTATTAAGAACAACAAAATACAGGGCTGTCATCACTAAGTTCTTGCACAAAACACAGCAATTAAGTATCTTAAATAAATAAAACAGCAGATAACCTATATTGTGTCTATCACAAAAAGGGGATGTGACCTGGGACACTGCTAATTCTTCCATCACTGGTAATTAGAAAAGGATTGCATTCAATTACTGTTAATATCTTTCAAGTTATCTATGGCCAATAATGTACAAGGAGGTAATTTGTAATTCAAGTTTTTTTGTTTGTTGTTTTTTTCTTCAACTAGCTACAAGCAGAGTTCTAAATTTTACACTGAAATATGACTCAAATTTAAAACAAGCCCTCTCCAAGGAGCATTTTCTAATTTTGTGCAACTTTGATGCAGAGCCCATCACAGTCCTATGAAGAGAGACAGTGCATCTTTAAGCTGATTGGCACTGAAATCCCGTTTTCTTTAGCTGCATTCTATTAGCTTGGCCAAGTTATCTCGTAACTCTGTTAGTTCAAATATTTTTCCATCAAGAATTTCTAAAAGTGTCTTCAAGTTATTGCGAAAAGCTTCTTGCTCATTCTGACTTTTCTCCAGACGTTGCTCTAGATCAGACAGCTGGCCTTCCAGGTCTTTGTTTCGAATTTCTACTTCCTTCAGAGAAAATACATAACATGTTAATGTGTTGTCTGTAAACAGAAAGCAGTCTAACCTCCTGCTGGTATTCGCGTGCTATTTTTGTCAACTGTTTTTTAAAACAATTTGTGACCCTTTACAGTTTCCGCTAAGCCAAAACCAGAACCCAAATAGTTATTTTGATTGCTACATATTGATGTACTACCACGTCCTCCATTTTTTCAGGAATTCATCTGAAGGACAGAAACTTTTGGAGAGGGATAAAATATAGTACGTGAACAACATATGTGATATACTTATTCAGGTAAGTTATTGTTTCCTTCATTCAGAAATGTGCCACCCACTGAAAACAGCTTCTCAAAGGTTTACTTAAGTTCAAGTATTCCTGATTTAGACTACATGAATTGCTCAAGGACATAGTCCCTATGAAATGGTGTCATACAGAAACTCATCCAGAATACTGCTTTATGGGTGGAGGAGTACTACCTTACTCCTGTCCCACATTACAGGCCTTTTCCCCCTGAAAATTAGAAACATAAACTAGCACGGCTGATGTCAAGGTGACACTGATTGTAACAAATTTAAGTGCAAGCCGAATGTCTTGTCTTGCTGCACGGTGCCCGGGAGCACCCGCCTGTGAGCCCCACGCTACCGCAGCTGCGGGAGCAGGGAAGGCGCGCGAGCCACCGGTGCCGTACGGACAAGCTGTTCACACAGCGGTGCACGTGCTGTGCACTGCTGAGGGGACCTGACCCCGAGCAAACTCGGCTCTCATTCACGAGGAAGGCAAGCCCCCGCTGGCGCGAGCCCACCGGGACCCCTCACAGCTCTGGCTTGCACCTGACAGGGGAGGGAGGTCATGGCTGCTCGGCTCTGTGCAAACAGGGTGCCCTCCCTTCCATCAAATTACTCACGCAGCAGTCGCGTGGGCCTGGAATAGCATATTGTTACTTGTCGCACGTCTTGTAAATTCACGCTAAATGTCCTAATTTCAGTTATGAAAAACACTTTCAAAGGCAGTGCAGGGACAGCGTATTTAGTACACCGTACACCCTGTGCAGCCATCCTCTGGAAAAGTGCATAGTGAATTCGTACGTACATTAACATTTTTTCAACACTGCTTCCCTTTACAGCAGCTTTGTGTCACAAAGCTTTAACAGGCCTGCTCTGAGTTTTTACAACTGGTTTCACACAGCCATTGGGAGGGAGATTTGGCAACAGTCACTGCTCGCAGCATGAGCGACTCCTCTTCCTTCCTTCCCGCTGTCCCACTGGTTTTGTTATGATTCTTCTGCCTCCCTCAAAGCTAACAAATATATTCATGTTTACACTGGAGAGATCTCAGCTAACCGTAAGAAACAACCTGACCCATACAGAGTATGTATTTGGGCAGTCAAGAGTAAGAGGTATAAAATGCCAGCCTTGTGTCAGTCTGTAGCCCAAAACATGTTTCTTCTACCCATGAGGAGTCTGATGGAAGCACTGGTCGTCTGCTGCATCCCTGGCCAGAGAAGGGATGGGGTGATGTGGCCAGTGCTCAGTTTCGGCTCCCAGCCTCTGTGACCGGGGAGAGCTCTGCAGCCCCCAGCAGTGGTGCAGGTGGAGAAGGCAGAGCCTCGGGAACCTGACCACCTCATAATTGTGGCTGGTTGTGCAGCCAAGGATTACATCCAAGCTGAACTGGAATACCTGCCTTACTTCTTGTTTGTAAATGGGCAAGTTAACAGAGTTTTGGGCACTGGCCTTGAACAGCACAGCTGAGAGCAGGAATTACCCCTTGCTGCCAGGACCAAGGGAAGAATTAGTTTAATCTGTTTAACACTGAACAACATAGTGGCCAAAGCACTAAAGGAAGCTAACTGAAAAGATTATTTGTAGAAACAATATAAATTAAAATACATACATGCTTATGTAATGATTAGCTACCCCACCACTGCTATAACCAAACAAGCTAACTGATTATAACCCAGCCATGCCCTCTGAAGGGTCTCCTTCACTGAGCCTACTCCTGCCCTCCAAACTGCATACTGACAAGTACTGCCTGGCGTAGTGACTGCACGGGTTCCAGACCCTCTGAGGCCAAGTGACTGCAGTACAGGACAAAAAGGGAAATTCAAGGTCCTCTCAGCTCTACAGGAACGACACAGTCCTTTCCTTAGTTCACACAAAACTGATTGCTGTTTCTCCATGTTTGCTCAGGCGTCCTGCTTCTCCTGTCACTGCTCCTCTTCGACCCACCAAACGTGGGTGCTCTAGGAAGTTTCCTTGCCGCTGCTCTTACCCCAGAGATAATTAGTTTCTATAAGTAGGCCAGCCAGTGATGAAAGGGACCGCTTTGGAACAAATCCATGGATATATATATGGTTTTATTTTGTGATATCTGGGCCTGAAGAGCATCCCATTGGCCTGTATCTAGCACTGAAAATCATCTTTCAGGCCCTCCTCAGGCGCTCTTAAACAGAGGAATTGTTCCCCTGTGAGCTGTTAGGGTGGGAGCACCCAGATAAAACCGAAAGCTTTATGTCAGATGTAAGAACTTCCATCCATATTCAGCAAAAGGATGACTTTCAGTTGCTAGTCCTTGCCCTGTATCTCTTCAAATCAGAAGAGCTCCCTTCTTCTGTTTAAACTTCCAGCTTGCACATTTTATTTATATTCCATTCTTGACATCTCTTTCCTAATCCATACACATTTTGCTTCCCAAACATTTCCTCAGATATACTTTCTCCCACACTTCCTCCTGTTTTATTTTCCCTAACTTATGCTTAACTTATTTAATGATGTATGGGAAGTAGAACTAATTGAAATATGCAGGAGCTGTTGCTTTTAACTTCTGGAAAATGCTTCTTCCCAAATTTTACATTTGCTCCTTACACATATTTACCCTAGACTAGTATTAATAATTTTTGCAATAGCATTGCATTACACGTTCAAGTCCAGCTCATGTGCAGTTTCCTATTACAAATCAGTCTACCTCAAAACTGTTGCTTCTTGATTGGAAGAAGTGAAGAGGTATCCATGTAATGTAATCTCTTCCCCTAGTTGCGTAATTTCACTTTATTTGCACTTAATCTCATCTAACAATAAACTGACTCTTCTGATACATTCAGGCCGCTTGCAAGGTGTATTTTACACCATTTTTTTCAAGCTCTTCTTACAGTGGAGACAATAATTTCTTATACATTGTTTTCTTTTAGAAAAGAAATAAATTATTAACAGGTTATCTTTGTTGTTTGCACTGTAACAATCTTTTGTGGAATTCAGTGCAAGGATCCGAATAAAATTTCAAACCATACACAAGAGTTATATTTAGGAATCACCCATAGTAATAAAGGTATCCTGACTTACTGTGAGAGTCACACTGATCATGACTCATTGATATGTCTTCTCTACATTGCTAATGAAATTATTAAGTAACAAGGGTCCCAATACTTACCCTTCACAGTGAAAACATATTGCTCTTCACTGGAATTTGCCAATGATGGATTTCTAATTCATTCCCTGATATAAGTGTGTCAGAAATGCAATATACCTTGAAATAGTAATGTCTTTGTATAGCATTTTTCATACAGGCTATATTCCAAAATATTTTAGAGTTACATAATCCATTTGCAAACACAAGAGGGAAAAAATAAAGGAGAAGTAAAAAAGAGATGAACGGATATGGACCCTGGAGACAATCGCCCTGAAGACAGATGATGAGTCAACTACGTGAACAGATGTGAGATGGTTAGTCTAGAGCTACAGAAGAAAACACCATTTCACTGACGTCACAGGTGTAGGGTGAAGTGGCTCAGAGAAGGCCAGTACCATCAAAGCAGGATGATTACAGCAAAGCAAAGCAGGATGATTATAGCAAAGCAAAGACTCAAGATCTTTTAGATGGTCTGCATCAGGTCAATAATAAGCTTTAAGCTTAAAAGGCAGCTTTTAACTCAGATCGTAAGTGAGATTTAAATTTACTTGAACAGAACCATGTTGAACTATTTTCAGAAACTGATCACCTACAACATGACGTATGGACATATATACACAATATATCCATTTGGTTACTAAAGATATAAATATACCAAAAGGAAGCTACTGACTTTATAAAGTACAAATTTTAATAAAAAACTCAGGATTTTCTAATCTTTCATCTCTTGCTAGTCTCTCATATTTCTCCTTGCTAAGGATAGCTAATTCCTGGCTTGCTATTACTTTTCATATGATCTTACACTGAAATTATTGCATATGCTACTGCCAGAACAATTTCCAACTTTCATTATAATCTCCCTTTTGAGTCTCTCAGATAAGCCCCTTTTCAGCTGAAAACTCCCATTTTTAGCCTAAAGCCAGCAGCAATTTTTGGAATAGCAGAACAGGCAAGCACAGGTGTATTCAAAACAATCTTTAAAGGTTGTTTAAAGTAATAACTTGCTTTTTCCAAATAATTTGACTTAAGAATGGGGAAAAATGAATAAACTAATTTTGTTCTCATGTGGTTTATTCTGTAGGTTAAAATGAGATTCAAAGAAGTTCCAATTCATGTAATGCATTTTGAAGAATAACTGCTTAATGATCTTTAAGCTGTGGCTAGTCTGATGGGGCTTGCTTTCTGCATGATTTAGGTCGAGCCACAGAACAGCGAGGGTCACCTTTCAGCAGTTTGGATCTGGAGCTATTTAATGCCTGAGTTTCCAGTCCCATCAAAACCCTGAAGTCTGAATTCAGAGTTTAACCCACCTAAGCTTTGGGTCAGCCTCACTCCGAAGGCAGGTTTCACAAGGGAGGTGCGTATGTGCTGGCTGGTCAGCCCCACGACAGACAGACAGGAGCTGAGACATAGCAAGGGAGGGTATACTGAGGGCACACTGATTCTGGTAGGCTGAGGTATCTCGCTTTACACACAGTAAAGAAACACCCCAGAAAAAACAATAAAAACAATAATTCTAAATAATTCCAAGAGAATGTCAAAGTGTGTTTTTAAAGTCTGTACTACACAAAAACACTTTAACCTTTACTTTCTCAGGACATGTTTCAAAGCTGAATACAAACTCATCCCAAATAATATGATACACAGCCTGACAGTTTCAGTGGCACACAAGACCTATGGGAAGACACTGCAGTGAAAATGAGACCAGAACTGCCCAAGACATGTATTGATGAAGGACATCTGCTAGCCTGATAGTACTCTGTGGACTTGTAAATGAAATTTGGGTCCAGCAGGTGGAAATTTGGATACAAATTCCTAAGGATCATCCCAACCCACCACTTCACAATGCAGTCTAACATATATTTATCTGGCACCTTCAGTGAATATAGCACAAGTTGCTGATGCGAACTGCTCACTTCACGATCATTTTTCCCTTCTCTCTAAATTAAGATGATGCACTTTAGCTCACCTGTAACTTCTGGGTCAGAGAATCCCTCTGTGCCTGAAGCTCTCTGGCATTGTCAATTTCTTGTTTCAATCCTTCAATTTCCTAAGGGAGAAGAAACAACCCTGCTAGCAACGCGTTACCTAGCTTGGCCTCAGTGCAGGTAAGCTGGCTATCGCTTCTTCTCATGAGCAAGACATTGCAATGATACCAAAACTGGCAGTTGGCTACTGCTCATTACAGCACACGACATTTAAGCCCTGCTCTCAATAGTCCTGAATCACAGTCCTAAAACAGCAATTCCATTGTGAATAAACAACAATACAGATAAACATTTTATTTTATAAAAGTCCAAGGTTTCCACTCCCACACAAAAGATCTGAAATCATTTTTTCCTGGAAAAGTAAGTGTCCTTGTAATTAGAGAAACAATTTTGTACTTTAAGTTCTATTAGAATCTATCCTTCTCCATTTTTTCAAGAGAAAAATCCAATTTTCATCTGTGAGCTGCTTATTATGTCACTAGCAGTGGGGCTGAGCATCAAAAAATTGCCTGCTTTGACCATCAACTTCTGTAAAAAGAGAGTCTAAAAGAAAATGGTATCTTTAATTTAGCAAGAAGAAAGTAATAAGGTATAAAAATAACAAATACAGATGAAAAATGAATGGAAGAGAAACTTTTTCTTAGCTTACTTTCAGGAGACAAGAATAGAAACAGTTAATTAAACTAAAAGGTATCAAAACCATTAAGTACTTTTCCCTGGAAGGGCATATTCACCTCCCAGAACTCCTTTTGGAAAGATCTCTTTTCAGCCAACAACTCAGCATAATTCAGAAGTGAATGGGCACCAAAATGGGAAACATTACCAACCTGAGGCTAATCTCTTAAGCATGAGGGAGTTTGGAAAAGGCTTTGTTCCATTTTGGGAGGATACTCTGTAACTACTGTGCCTCTCCTGCATCCTCCTTGGAAACACCTAACAACTGCCCCGCTGGAGGCAAGACCCTGCAGGACACACTGCCCCTGCCAACACGCACACCAGTGCCCGCTGCGTCTGTCACAGAGCTCTTGAGGCATCTGCTCTTACACGGGGCACAAAATCCTTTATACACGGCTCCTTCCACCTCCTTTTCCCCATCCATAAAGGGGCGATTCTCGATCATTCTGTGGCACAAACCTGTTTTCCTCTAGGACCTGTGCCAGTGCAGGTGTTACTCCAGTTCCTTTTATTTTCTTGCTGCTGGCCCAGCCCAAGGCAGATGGCACAATAAATATCAAGTTTCAGGCTGGGACCTTGGCATGCGTTTAAGGAAATGGATGATCGTGAAAGTCAGCTATATTAACATAGCCTGAAAACCAGATTGGCCTGAAAAAGGCATTGATCTATTACTTGTCCAAACCCTACTCTCCAGAAAAAGGAAAGCATGCTTATGACAGCTTTCTGTCTTAGTGAATTTGGACTGCACCAGTGTGATGACTGCTCTGTGGAAACCACTTATAACTTACTTTTGCAAACAGAGATGCTTGGTAAAAGCAAACAGGAAAACATAATACTTTTTTTTATTGTTCAGATACCCAGCTCTATATTGGACCGATGCAATTATATACACAGAAATATATTAATCATTTCAAAGAAGCTGAAAAGGATTTTACTTTGTAACATCTATAGGAAATAATACAGTATTTACCAGCCATCACAAGCTTAGTATTGAAAGTCTTTAGAAATGACATAACAGAAAAGCCAAGAATAAATGTGAGCAAATACCTCTTCTTTTTTCTTCAGCGTAGACTCTAACTCCTGTATTGTCTGGTTTAATTCTGTTTTATGTGTGTGGACTGCATTGGCTTGACTGCTCACACACTCTAGCTCAGTCACCTGTTGAAATAGGTAGAAGCAACAAATAGAGAATTAAATTCAACAAATTCAAGGTACTATTACTTCTTTGCATCAATAGCTGCATTTGAAATATACCCTTAGTTCTGGGTGACTTATGTTGATTAAAATGTTGAGGGTGTTCTCACGAAGTCAGCATAAAATTCCTTAACAAATTGTTTAGCAAAAATTGGTTGCTATGACTTCTTGGAAACAATACATTTAATATGTTGCAGGCTGAAAAGAACATTAATTAAAACTTATACTTACTAATTATTGAAAATTTTATGAAAGAAGCTGAATTACCATTCCAGAAACAGTAATGGCTAGATGATTATACACTATACACTAGAGCTAGCTGTCTAACTAACCTCTCCATCTGACACTTTTTAATGTTGCACCATCTTATTTAACTAAGGCACAATGCTCACCCACTTCCTAGCAAGCCAATTAACATTTCACAGCCTCAATTTCTGACTCGACATCAACAGTGTAATAGCAGACACTCAGCCATCAATGTACAGCTGCCAACTTCTTACTTCCTCTAGTTTCAGATCTCGTCTCTCAGTCACAAAGCCAACAGCTAATGGCACAATTTGGATTTGCACAGTTCCTCTTTACTAGCAAATAGCAAATGCTCTCCATCTGCTCGTGGATCAGTTAAGATACCTGGCAATGGTATGCCCTTTCAATTTTATTTTTTAATCGAAGAGATGTTAATATCCTGCCATTCACAGATAAACAGCTGTCAAAAAATAGCTTCTGCACCAAAGAAATAAAATCCATGCAGCTAGAGTTTATGCAGAAAAGTCTTTGTTCATGTACCTCCCAAATTACAGATCAAAATATTAGAGAACTTTCACACTGCATGTTTGCATGGATGTGTGCACTAAAACCTTTCTGTTTAGTAACAAACTGTTAAAATATCAAAAATTCTATTTAAAACCTAATAACTCATTTTTTTCCCAGAAGATATGAACCTGTCAATCTTAGTATACAGTCTTCAACAAAGCTGCACCACCTACCTACAGTAAATAAGAAATCTGGCCCAAAAACTCCTTTGCACAAAGTGCTACCCAATTCTGCAATGAAAACCCTTAGGCCTCCCTTTAACTTTCTTGGAGGAGTAGCCCTTAGACGGAGGGCAGGCATTCTCCAAGACAATTTTATTTCTTAGATAAAAGAACATCTCGAGGAATCAAGACTGATGCCCTCCAGCACCAATGCAGTCTAGCTAGTGAAGCCCCTGTGATGCCAGTAATTTCAGACTCTGAACTATTTGTAGGCTCAAAAGGTACATTACTGAGTGCAGAGAGAAGTCAAAGGGAAGCCAAGATGAAATACAAGAACATTAAAACAAAACCCCTATCAACTTCTCCTTTATGAGTCACAGGGCATGAACTTCCCCTCTGTAACAGCCATGACGAGTCTAGTTTCTTCTCCTGGAAAACTGTGATTAGATTTTTTTGCACGTCAGGTTTATAAATGGAGAGAACTGAGATTACAGCAAATTCTTGGGAGGGGTAAGGGGAATGAGAGATGAGGATATAGCTTGGTAACACAACACCCCATCTTCCACCCCAAAGAACTATCTTATTTGCTGGAAGTGTCCCAAAAGAAATATCAGTGCTCATGCTGTTTGCTCAGTTTTATATGCCACTGAGCATTACAACTTTTAAATAGAATTTTCGATATTTTAACAATTTGTTACTAAACAGAAAGGTTTTAGTGCACACATCCATGCAAACATGCAGTGTGAAAGTTCTCTAATATTTTGATCTGTAATTCGAGAGGTACATGAACAAAGTCTTAGATAATTTTCTCAATTTGCTTCAATTACACAAAAATATATCTATGTAGATTCCTTCTGACTGCTACCAGTTGTGACTATTACAGTATTCACCACTACAGTTACACAAACATGAACAAGCAGAATTGGAACACACCAACTGTGATAAACCTATGTCTACACAGTGTCTGAACTAACATCTAGACACAGCAAGAATCACAGAGGCACAGAGTAATTTAGGCTGGAAGAGGACCCTGGTGGTCATTTGGTCAAGGCCTCCTGCTCAAAATAGGGCCAATTTTGAAGTCATGTTTCGTTGCTCAGGGTCTTGCCCAGTCAAGAACCCTTCACTATCTAGTAGAGCTGCCACAGTTTTACACAGGTTCCTGTATTTCTGACATTGAGGGTTTATGCAGAGCTCTAGCTTGTTCCTAAGTTTTGCTGGAACTGTCAAACTCACTCACCTCACGTACCTTCACCCCTTCTGATGTTTAACTTCTGAAACGTTTCCAAGCTTTTCTGCTGAACTGAGTCTTGAATTGGAGGTGGAAGCCCCTGTGAACCCAGGGTTAGGGTTGTTGAGGGAACCCAGGGTCAGGCCCTCTCCCACGCGTTGTGAAAGACTGGAACATTGTATGGTAACCTCCAAGAAGGCCAATTTCTCTTTTAAAGCTGTGGCACTCAGCAATACCCACTGGCTCTTACAAAGCACTAGCGCAGTGAATACTCATTTACACAAGTGTAAGAGCCTCAACTGGAGAGACAGAAGAAAACCCAGTCCCCAAACCACTTCTGTCCTAGCACCTAGTGCCTTGGAAGCAAGTATGCAGAAGTGTCTTAACCTGAGACTAAGGAAGCACTTGGACCCCCACTGTTCTCCACATGGTTTCCTCTGGACTGCTACACACAGAGATGATGCATGTCTTGGTGCAAGCTTGGAATCCAAGGAGGCTGGTGGATTGAACTCTGGTGGATGAAATATTACTGCTCTCAGCTGCATGTAGTGTTGCTGGCTGAAAACACCTGCAACAGCCCCGCCAGTTGCATGGCTCACATGAATGCTCCCCAGTACACTCTGGCCCATACTACCTCCAGATACCTATTGAAATTGCTTAAGCAAACACAGCTAGTTCTGCTTGAGCAGAGCAGGGAGTCCTCTCACAAACCTCCTTGCCAACAGAGGCAACTGCTGTCAGAAGGGCAATTAATTACCAACACTAAAAGGGCTGTGATGTCTTACTCTGGTCCAGCTTTTCTCTGGGCAAATGTCCATCTCTTACTGCTTATGCAAGAAATTAATGCATTGGTCAACTGTTTTGTTTACCATTCGTTGAAAAATCATTAAGTTGGAAAAAAAGAACAAATTCAATTTAAAAAACAGGGTTACTTTAATTGCAGTCTTATTTAAATGTCCATTCCTACAGAGATCTGAAAAGATGTCAAATATCTGCATGATGTTATCTTCTTGAACATACCGATAAAAAAGAAAATCATATTGTGACCCTTTCAAAAAAATCTGTACAGTAAGATGGACTAGAAAATGATGCGATATAAAGAATATACAATTGAAACCAGAAGTAACAAAAGATAAAGCTCAAGGCAAAAATCTGGATAGTATTTACTTGCTCTATTTCCTCATTTCAAATTGAATTTATTTTTCTCATGAACAGTGGTCCAAAAATCATTAAAAATAACTGTTTATGCATTATGCACAGAAAGGGGCATAAAGATGAGCTAAAATGCTTTGGTCTGACCCTCCCACGTGCTATTTTCAGGGACATCTCATTCAGTGTTTCATGTTTAAGAGCAAGGCTCAATCAATCATTCAAGCCTTTGCACAGCAACACTGAGCAATGTACCTGTGATTAAGCCTTGCTTCCAGTACAGAATTCGGACTGCAAGAACAGTCTTTGAACAATAACTGATTAAACAAGGTTTTCTATTGTGCTATTGTAAGACTGCACTGACTTGCATACCTGAAAAAAGTCAATACTGTGGCTTTGTATTTGAGACTAAAAAAGAAAAATTGTTCTTAGCCTCTGCTGCTTTATTTTGCATTTATCATCCAGGTAAGGATTGCAAGTAGGGAAAAAAAATCTGAAAGGGCTTTTTAGTGACTATTTAATGAGCTAACTCTTCTAGTGTATGGCTGGCATTATACTTAACTGCATACTTTAGTGAGAAATACATCAGCTGAAATAAGACAGCAAGGCAACTTGTTCTGGCAGAGCCTAGACCTTCTCAGCAGAGGCCATTCTAGAGTTTTCTGGAAATTTTAATCTAGTGTCAATGGCTTATAAATAGAGGAGGATGCCAGGCAGAAGTTTTCATTACAGCAGACAGCTAGCACACACTGGGCTGTGGGGCAGACTGGAGGAGTGAGTCTTTGGGCCACGTAACACAACAGAGTAACAGCCTTGATGTGAGCTTAAGACAGTGACTGCCCAAAGCTTCAGAAGACTGAAAAATCTCTCAAAGAAAACAAATCAAATCACAAAGAAACCAAGAGAGGAGATTGCATCAAATCCCAACACAGACAACAACTTCACAGGTAAAGACTTGTTTAGTCTTTACTCTAACTTGACTAGCTAGACAGAGGCAAAGAAGTGGGAATGACGGAAATATTTTGAGTGGTCACCTTCCCCAAGCAATTATTGACTGAATGAGTCTGCGCTATGTTTGCTGCGGGTTGATTCCATTTTTCAAACCACTTTGTTGAGATAAATTTGTACACTTCTGATCTCAACCAATAGTTTTTATTCACTATCTTAAATTCAGTACCAACAGATCGTGAAATTGCTTCTAAACTTCATGCAGAAATTACTTCAACTGCTACAGAAATGCAAAGACAGACAGTTTGGAACATATTTTCAGTGTAGCTGTAGCCTATTTTATATACCTGATGCTGTTAATCTGTTGTTTCCTAAAGGTATTTTTATCCTTTCTATTTACTGTGGAATGCAATATCCAAGGTCTACTAGCTGAGGCTACAGTACAGAACAGGCAGAGTGCTCACATGCAAGACTGAATTTAAATATTAATTATGTATTTTTAGCTGGTTGAGTTACATCCCTAAATGGATCATAACTGTGACTGTGACAATAATATTCCATCAATAATTCAAGATGAACCTCCTACAAAATAAAAAGAGCTCTTTAGTTTCCACAAGGAGAAGAGAAATGATGTTGCATCGCTCAGCAAAACTAGGAATAAC